ATGTAGTAACTGGAGAATGCTTTAGTTCTCTGCCCATATCCTTTTAGTTAACATAAACTGGTAGTAAAATCATAAATAAATTTTTGACTTCTTGGAATACACAAGAAAAAATTAACAAGAGAAATTAATCAATTAACATTTTTTTAATATGGAAATTAGCTGTGCATTGAAAACTAATGGTTAATTAGAACACAATATCTATCCATATAGATTCCTTTGCACAACATTTTATGTGGCTAACTAATACACATACCATAAATGATTTACAAATTTGTTATATATTGCTGAGCGAATGGTTACAACAATACATGAAAAAGAGCAAATGAAAAACAAACAAGCTGTTCTCTGATTGGTCTGACTGTAAGATGTTAGGGTTTGGTAGCCAATAAGGTACACTCTTATAAGGAGCTTTGCATTGACTTCAGAAGTGTGTTAGCCAACTCGTATCTAACGCGGTGCTGCGCAACGATCACTCTTTTAATGAATAATATTAATATCTTTTTTTTTCAGAATATGCTGGGCGCAGACAAATGTCGGTTCCATTATTTCGAATTTATTGCCAGCCGTAAGTGAAAAGGCCATACTTGCATTGTTATGTGCTTGTGTTGCATGATGGGTTACGTCACGTCACGTTATGTCATGTCATGTCATGTCACGTTACGTTACGTTACGTTACGTTTGTTATGTTATGTTATGAACAACTCAGTTATTATGTCTGTAATCCACTTTTTTAATATTGCTTAATATCATTTTAATCTCATAATATATTTATTATATTTATACTTGTTATCGACTTACATTCTCTTTTGAAGACAGAAGCGATACATCAGTACGTGAGGAGCATACTTGTCCTATCATGCGTACAACACGATTTTCGTCGTGACGCAATGCATCCATGGGGAAGCCTCGTTCAAAGACTAATTTAACTGAGTAGGACATTGTTTTTACAGATGGCGGTTACAACGATATTCCTGCTTTTGACCAAAAGAAAAAACAAGCTCTTGGGTTGTTGTCAGGGACGAGCAGGAGTGGTCGCGTAAGTTTGCGTATGTCCGAGATGATGTACTCATTATTATTCATGATATGCAGAAAAGTTGTTTGTGATCAACCAATGAGCATGTCATATAGTGATGGTCGTGTAAGTTCGTATATGCACGGTTTCTAGTAGCCGTTGTATATGTTAGTGATGGTGTACCTATCGATATTCCTGATATGTAGAAACTATTTATCCACTTGACCAATGAGCACGACGAATAGTGATGGTCGTGTAAGTTGGCGTATGTTCGAGATGATGTACTATAAATATTCATGATATGTAGAAACTATTTATCTATTCGACCAATGAACACGAAGTATAGTGCCCTGCGTCAAATCAATGCCACCTGGCCTACAACGCATTCAAACGGTCAATAGTTCAAAGTTTGGGACAGACATAATAACACAATAGAGATAGTTTTTAAATCGTTTTTTTTTTTCAACCAATTTCTGCTTAATTTTAGACCTGTCAACCTATTAATGACCATAATAGACGTGCTGGATTCTTATTCGCATTTGGTATGACTGGCGCCACCATTGTGGATCTGTTCTATGGTAATTCGTACATTAAACTTGACGTTTCTCCCGAAGTTGGAGGTAATAAAAAAATTATAACATCCGACACGCAGTGCATCAAGGGTAAAACTGGTTTCAACTAGGTTTTGAATTTGATGGGCTATATTGTTTTAGATTGACGTGGAGTCGATTCAAGTTTATATATATTGCCGTAACGTGAACGTCTAGACATAAGTCTATAACTGTTATGTATCTTGAATTTACCACGTGACAAACAGTGTTTGAACAGTATTCAAAACAAACTTATGAAGATCGAAAATGGCGGCAATATTCAGTATGACGATAATATTCAGATAGCATAAATGTGAGTGTGTTTGTCGTCAGTAGCGTAAGCGACACTTACGTGAAACCCACGAATGATGTGTTGCCTTCAGATGACATCATTGAGAGTCTGGGTGACGTAAATCTGATAAACCGCACGTGACCATGAAAGTCACAAATGATCTTTTGATTGAGATGACGTAAAGCTATATTAGGATGACGTCATGTTAACAATTGTTTCTTTATATTTAGTATGGGTGACAGCTCTCAATGTGGTGTACATCGCAACAGTTTACTTTCCATTTTTCGTGTGTGTAAGGTATGCCAATAAACTGGTTGGTTCGACGATAGCTGTTATGTTCTGCACATATCATTTTATATTTGACACTGCTAAACGTATCAATTGTAGACGAGAAGACGCCAACACCGTAAGTAACCGGGGACATGCATCATTTGCATTTTCTCAATGCATGTATCAAAACCGGAATTCGCCTCAAGACTTGTCGGCGTTTATACATATCGAGTTTAAAAAATAACTTTGTTCTTGAATTGAATTTTGATGGAAACAGCATTTTGTAATTACTTGCGCTGATTCTTGATTTTATTTATTTTGATGCATGTCCTTGCAATTGTTGTGATTGTGAATCTTGCGTTTGTATAACAACGTCATCATGGATATTGAGTTGTGTAAAACGTCATCGTGAATCTTGCGTTATGTACAACGTCATTGTGAGTCATGCGTTATATTTCAGCATATTAAAGTAGAAAGTACATCATATCCAGGTCAAAGTTCATATTATATATACAGCGGAACATAACATATTAAAGGGCGGTAGTAGTTGCGCTGCGCATGTGCGACATTTGTGTTGATAAACATTGATTTTCCCACAAGCCAATGCGATCTTCTAATATAAATCACGAGTATACGGTTTGACTTGGGTGCGACTTGCACTAATTACCGCCGGTGACTCTTTCAATATCTTTCCAATCACCTGCAAATTCCTAATTAAAGCTTTGTAACGTCTCTCAGTCTGTACTCGTTGATCTGCGCAACAGTCAAAGTCGCCATATTTGTTTATATAAGACCCATATATCTTGCGCATGCGTGGCGCGGCGACTACCGCCCTTTGAGCAAACAAACGACAATAATATCACAATTGAAAGACACATAGACCTCAATGCAAACAGCCAAGCGATAACACGCATTTCGCAAACCGCCCGCCAGACATCAATTTGAGTAATATTTAATTACTCTTTCAAACTTTTCTTCTTAATTCCACAAATTTATCATTGTATCTGACAAAACATTTTGATTATTGGGTTATTTTGCAGTAATATTATATATTGCGTATTTGTTTATATTACAGAATGGTATGTTTTTAACTATTTATTTAATGCCAACATATTTATGCTGTATCAGTTACTATGTGATGCATATTGTTATTATTATACAACAAATCTGTTTGCGATTGAAACAAAAACAGGTGAGAACTCACGTAACTTCGTTCTTCATACGTATACGTTGTGATAAGTTGTATGTGATTCATGTCTAACGCACACGGTTTCAACGTCGCGCCGCGGCCTGTTCGATATGGGACTCATAGCGACGTACACAACGCGTGTGAAATTGTTTGTTTACATGAAATTCGAACGCGCTGCGCGACGACCATCGGCCTATACTATTAATTTTACTGGGTATATTTACTTCAAACTCTTCGCTCTCGTTTTCTATTACATACAGGTGAAAGATCAACACGATGAACTACTTTATTTTTCCGACAGCGTTTATGTCAAAGAACGTTTAAAAACACGCCGAAAACGGTAAGCCACTATTGTCTCAAATCACAATCTTCTAGCGTACAGCAGGACACTATATACATGTCATAGCCGGCTCTTAAAGGGCGGTAGTCGTTGCGCTGCGCATGTGCGACGTTTGTGTTGATAAACATTGATTTTCCCACAATCCAACGTGCTCTTCTAATATAAATCACAAGTATAAGGTTCGGCCTTGGTGCGACTTGCACTAATTACCTGAAAAATCCTAATTAAAGCTTAGTAACGTCTCAGTTAGTACTTGTTGATCGACGCAACAGTCAAAGTCGCCATCTTTGTTACATGAGACCGATGTTTGGGGAGATGTGTATTTCATTCAAACGGACCAACTTAAAATTGTCGGAACCTGTAGAAGGTCGGGTCGGCAAGGGATATTTTCGTAAGCTGTAATCAATTGTTTTTATTTTCGTAATAACGTACTTTGTATAAATAAAACACGTAAATTCGTAGACATGGGCAAGGTATAAAATGTAATCAGCTATTTTATTCGTCCATAATTTGTACAAAGATCTTATTTTTTGTAACCATATATTAAATGTCGTAATTCGTACGCAGTTTCAAGTTTTGATTCTTAAACACAAATAATTAAATATATTATTAATAGGAATTTGCTTTATCTGTAAAGTGAACTTTCATTTTATTTCATGTAAAAACATATTTTATTTCCTGTAACCTGTGACAGCTACCCCCCCCCCCCTCGCGTAGAATAATTGACCAATGATTGGGTTGCCACGTGACTTTACTAGACTGATGAAGCCAGATGAGACTAGAGAAGGTCTGGCGGACACGGCAAATGATTCATTCCCAAGGCAAAACAAATCTGTTTTCGGACCAAATATTTCTTAAAAAACTTTGCTTTGTTATGGATATCAAGCAAGTCGATCGACGCATGAGTGAACGAGATACTGTACCTTCAACGGCAGGTACACTCCTTTTGTCCTTCTTCTTGTCTTTGCGCCGACAAGAACAGATCTATTTTTTTTTTTGGCCTAATATAACATATTTTTTACAGTCATGTAGATGTTGGTCCATACAGCTTCGTCACTCATGTTTGGAGTACATTCCGATCATATTTATATAAACCAGTACCTGGGTTTAAATATTCAACACGTGTGCTCAGCACCTTTTTCCTGTCACTTGCTGCTATTTATATGGTATGTTATTCAAATATTACCTTGCAATGCACGTAAAGTCGCGCTCAGATCAAGAGCGAATCCAAAATTTTATTTTCTCTGGTTCGCGTTTTGTGCTTTATATCCCCTCAAATAATTTAATAAAATGTCTAATGTAGACATGTCATCACATTGTAGGGGCACACACGCCCCCCTCTTTGTTTTAATCACCTGATGTCAATAATTTCGAGATTTCGCAGGCGTATTATTCTCACTGAACAATGAACGGGGAGTCATATTTATCTTGATCCCGATGGAGCCGGCGTTTTGGTACGCGGCGTTAACATTTTCATGCATTTGATTGGCTAAGTAAGTTACATGGACCATCGTGGTAGGCGTATACTCTAGAAACTTCGAAAAAACACATATAATCTGGGCTACTCACTGAAATGAATATCAGACTATATGATGCGCAGTGTATACAAATATTGTCACAATGTCTTGTTGTATTTCATACAAGTAATAAATAATAATAATAATAAGATAATATGTAACAAATTGTACTTTTAATTACAGATGACTGTAATTGAGTTATTTTATGTCATTGGGATCATCGAATCAGTCCAAGCTAGTTTAGAAGGCGGTATTTCCAGTATTCTCAATGGGACGAGGCATGAACATTTTCTTTTTCTCTGGGTTGATTTATCTGACCAATTTCAAGGTGATGTAATCTTATTTTTTACTACATTAGCTCGTATATTTTTTTTATTATACGACCAAAATATATGTGAAACTAAATAGGTTCTTTTGTGATCCTTGCGTGACCTTTCACCTTTACATCCGGGTATTTTCGTTGGTGATGTAAATGAACTGTGCATAATACTGTGCATTCAATGTTAAAATGTGTGGGTTCATGTATAAGAATATTGAGTAGTACTCTATATTTTGACAATTTGAGTATGATGTAAAGAATCACTTGAACAAATAGTACGTCAATCTTTAGTCTTTTTTTCAACCTCAGTAAACATAGAGTAGCACACAGGGTATCATTATTATTACACCAGGTGGTTGTAGAATGACAGTAATTTGTATATTATTAAAATTCTTACCAGCATAGTACAGCTTATCTTCAGCATATGAGTTAAATTAGATGATTTAACGAAGTAAAACACATTAAGAAATTGATTTACAAGGAAATGTGTAATATATTTTGACTAAATTTAGGTAGTTATGTAACAATTGAATATTAGCACTAGTACATATTGTAATTTAATCAGATGTTGTGGAAAGATGTTCAACACATCATATTACCAATAGTTTCCCAAAATTCCTTACTAAAAGACGCTGTTGCGTTTTCCCGACTTTCCTTAGCAATTAAGGTGGCGCTGCACCATGATTTATAGGAATTTTAAACAATAAATTACACTACTAACAAATACGTTAATTTTGTCATGCTATATACCACGTGAAAGCTTATCTTGCCAGCTTTTCAACAGTATGATGCATTTTTTTTGTGGTTAATGGTATCGAAAATGGGTTGAAGATGTCTGTTTTGGGTTAAATTTTGTTTAAAGCTATTTAACTTCCGAACGCATAGGTTTATCGAATGACAGTTTGACTTGTTTAAAACATATGTTCACTAGGATTATAGAACAAAAGTTTGTAGTATTTCCATTGAATATTTTTTTCACAATGGCTACTAAAAGTTTCACACTTTTAAATTGACACGTAATTAACGCTATTGCCGATTGACAATGCAGTTACTTTTTTTCTTCTCGAATTTTGAAATTTTCACTCAAGAACAAGGACGTTTTCTGCTATATAAAAAGTTAAAAAAGTGAAATTCTACCTCTAAATGCATTTTTCCCTGCATCGCCACCTTAATTTACGATGCAATTAGTTTAGTCTTCCCAGTGTTCACAATACTTTGTGTCACGAAATTTATTTCTTATCGATATATTTGTTTTTAATTCAGGTGTTTTCTTTTAATTGGTGCATCGTCACATCAGTATACAATATATTAAAGATCCAGAAAATGTCACCAATATCATCAAAAATATCAATAATATGAACTCAAATCCTTGGAAAAAGCAGAATTATCATAACAAAACAAAACATCTATATTGTTCATAACTCGAAGTTCGATTTACTATTAATTGAAAATCGATTTATAATTTGGGCGTAGTTTCGCAAAAGTGGACGTGGTTTCTAAAATACGGGCGTGGTCATTTTTGTAACTCGATGTTTTTGTAACTCGATATTTTCGTAACTCGATGTTCGTAACTAGATGTTTTCGTAACTCGTTGTTCGTAACTAGATGTTTTCGTAACTCGATGTTCGTAACTAGATGTTTTCGTAAATCTATGTTCGTAACTAGATGTTTTCGTAACTCGATGTTCGTAACTAGATGTTTTCGTAACTCGATTTTCGTAACTAGATGTTTTCGTAACTCTCGGTGTTCGTAACTCGATGTTTTCGTAACTAGATGTTCGTAACTAGATGTTTTCGTAACTGGATGTTTTCGTAACTAGATGTTCGTAACTAGATGTTTTCGTAACTCTCGGTGTTCGTAAATCGATGTTTTCGTGACTCGATGCGTTCGTAATTCGATGTTTTCGTAACTCGATGTCCGTAACTCGAACAAAGCTTATCATCTCCAGACTCTAGATTATTCAAACGAATAGTTACCTTGGCAACAATATTTGTTTTAGTTGTATCACATTACTGAATTCAATAACAGAGTGACGTAGTAATACATAAATACATTTCATCAAAGATGGCCGCCTTCGAATATCTTTCCAAGTAAACTTGACGTCAGTCATGTAATACGCTCTATTAGAAAGGTTTTTATGTTGCATTCGTAAAAGTACTTTCAACTTTCTAAAATCGAGCAATATTATATATTTATTTGTAGGAATTGTTAACATCACCATCGGCCTTACATTGACAATTATAATAACGTTCATGTTACAAATGCTTGTGAGATACAGGTGGGTGACAGGTTTAGTTAGGGATGACCCATTTGAAATCTGAGAGAGGGATTAGAGGGGATTGGTCAATTGTTTACTTTT